CTCCCCGCCGCCCCGTTCAGCCCCCGGGGTTCCAGAGTGCCGGGCACAGGAGGCCGGTATAAATGCTGCTCTCGCGGTTTTTGGCTTGTAAAGGAGCGGTCGTATGCTCGCTGAGGGAAATAAAGAGGGGTTTGGGGTTGTTTTCTCCCCCAGTTGCCGAACCTCTCCTTGGGCGGCTCTGCCCCTTCCTTCCCGTCTTCCCCGGGACCTGTAACGATCGCTCGCTGTTAATGGGGGACAAGTTAAAATTTACCGGAAAACTGGTGATGGGGAGGGAGTCCCCAAGGGAATAGAAAACCCAGGCTTTACGCCGTCATTTAATAGCTGTCTTTGAAACTCATGGCCTTGTGTGATTAATTGCACCTTTTTTTCCCAAATGTTGACCACCGTCTAGGGGTTAAAATCCTCTTTTTGTACTTACTGGTGTGTTGGTTGTACAAAGATGACATAGTTCAGCATTTCCACATACAACCCCAGAACATTAAAACCTTCAGAACTGATAGCTCTTGAATAGGCAACAGGCAATATTAAAATGTCTTCGCTCCCTCAGATCGCCCTGACAAAGGATTTGGGAACTGTCTCTTATCTCTTTCTTGCACCATTTTCTTACCTAGGTCTGTTTTCTGTTTACAAGCCTGAAGATGGCTGCTGCTTCTTCCTGCAGTGTGGAAGAAGATGAGAGCCTGAAGGGATGTGAACTCTATGTTCAGAAGCACAACATCCAACAGATTTTAAAAGAGTGCATTGTAAACCTTTGCATAGCAAAGCCAGACCGACCCATGAAGTTCCTCAGAGAACACTTTGAAAAATTAGAAAAGGTCAGTGATTTTCAGGTGATTTGTATCCATTTTTAAACTGAAAAAGTTTGCTTTAAAAGTTTCAAACATCTTGGTATGTTTTTCCTTTAAAATTATAAATTATCAGGTGACTGTTAAAACCAAACTTTTAGAAGAAAAAACCCTTACCCTTTATTTGCTGATATTTACTATAATATTTGCTATAAAGTAGATTTTTTTTGTGCCTGATACCAAGGTTATAATTTTTTATCAAATTGCACTTGTTAAAAATGACCCAGAGAGTTATAAGCATACTTTGTGTTATGATACATGGAGTCCTGAACTTTCATCTATGGGAAGAACATGCCTGCAAGAGCAAAAGGTGCTGTTCGCTGTTTATTCCAGTGTCAGGTGATGTGGTTTTTCCTCCTCCTAAAACTGAACTATATCAGGGAACCAGCAAGTTTTAAAAACCGTGGAGCAGTTTGCTGGTTTGCTTTGCTGCTCTCACCTGTCTGCATTGCTTATTCCAGGATCCTCCAACTTGAGATGCATTCAGAGAGAGACTTAGTATATTGTGTCTTCAAAAGCAGCATAGAGGGGGAAATGTTTTAAAACATTCCCAGACAAATCCTACTGGACAAGTCTACTGGTGCCTTTTGCAGGAGATGCATGTTGTATGAGCACAACTTTTCTGGGGATGTGATTCTTCCAGAAATAAGTAGAAGCACAGGTCTGCAAGTTGTTGGTTATATGAGTTCTCAGTCTGCCAGAGACTTTACTAATATACTTAGTTTAAGAAGATGATTATTTGCTTTTTTGAATGAAATGTTTCAGGTTTGTAGGCTTAAGGTACAAGTTTTACGTAGTCTTTTCCTTCCAGAGGCAGAATTTTGTAAGGACAGAGCAAGAACAATAATAACTAGTGAATAGTACGTAATCTGATACATTAAAAGTGATAAATACTTTTACACGTCACTGTCCACTTTTCAGATACTGTATGTTTTTATAGGTGAGTATATGCCAAATTTGTGCAGCTTTAAAAAAATGCAAACATCGCCTTTTGGTGGAAGTCCAGTAAGAATGCCTGGAATGTCAGGGAGGGGTAGGAAGTTCAAGATGTTTTTTTAGTTGTAATGTTTCTTATTAAAAAAAAAAACCAAACAGCCAAAACCTCATAGTTCTGTGTGTTCTAGACTTCTGAGAGCCAAGACCCATTTCAAGAGAGTCAAGTCTGTTGAATTTCCATTATTGTGTTATAAGTTGTTATCCATCTTTATGTGTGCAATTCTGGACTTCCTGGCAAGAAGGATAAACACAAGTTTTGCAAACAATGTTTGAATATGCTGTAGTATTTTAGGATATTCTCCATAGCTAGTGGGATTACTTAAGTTGTTGTACTGAGGGAGTTTGGCTTTATTGATTTAAACACAGTACACAGAATTGAGACAGGAAGGCAGTTCTTACTGTTGAGAAGTTAGATATTTTTTCATGTAATCTATTACTTCCCAAAGAACAGCAGATTCCAGAATTCTGTAGCAGGGTATCAATCAGAATGCAAATGCAGAAGCTGATGGATATCACTTGTCCCAAAACAAAGGAGGTGATTTAGAAACAACCAGTCTGAAGGCATCAAGTTCAGTGAATATTGTGCTTAGTATGGAAGGAGACAATCTTGGTACTGAGTTTCCATTGCAGCCCGGGAGCTAAGCCTGATGAGCCTAAAGGCCTTAGGATGCTTCTGGAGGTTTCCAGCATTGTAATTCTCATTCCTGCAGCAGTTTGACTTTCTTGCTGAACCATCTCTGATGACTTTCTTGAGATGAACTGCACTGTGGAGGATGTTCTGCTCTAGGGTAGCATTTTGACTTGGTCGTTTACAGAACAGTTGAAGGAAGGTTTGTAAAGAAAGAGAAGAATTTCAATGAAGTTTATCTTGTTTTTAAAAGTCATTTTTCATATGTAGATACTTTGAAGAATCTTAATGGACTTGTGAATTTAGCAATTACCCATTAGAGCAATACAGTGATATGGCACGTTTGCTATTAGCTTCTTTAATTTTGGTCCTGTGCAGGGAGAGGTGTGAAAATCTTTGGGCTTAAGCACGATTTTCTGAACAAAGTCACGTATTTCTCCACCAAGTGTGGTATTTTGGGGTTGTTTTCCAAACTCGGTAAAATAGACAACATGCTTCACTGAAGAGAGCAGTAGAATAACAGTTTATCTGTCAAAAAATCATGTGGGCAGTTTGGAGATGAAGTGTGGGATATTTTTCAAGTAGTTGAAAAAGGAGTTTATGGAAAATGTGTAGAGCTCAATCCACATCAATCTGCTGCAGCTACCTCAGAGGTGAATACAAAAAAAAAGTTCATTTCATTGTGCTAATTCTTAACTACATCCCATAAAATCAACTTAGAAAAGCAAGATTTATTATCCTATGCAAGATCAGACCAGATCGTAAAACTGCTTTTCACCTTACTTCTGATGACATCAGCGTCAGGTCCATTGCCTTCAGCCTACATCTGTACTGCTGAATGAAGCAGGGATGGGGACTAACCCCTGACCCCACAATACTGACTGGCCCCAGATACAGTTCTTAGATCTAGCACATCTAGGAAGAGGTTTGTTTGGTAGGAGTCAGTATGAGCGGCTCAGAACAGAGCCTGGGAATGAGCTAAGAGTTGAGGGATGTGGACTGTCCTGGGCCATTCAGGTCCACGGCTGGGCCATTTTTTATTTCACAGTATAGACATGGCCTGAGAGGGCTATAAAGTGAGAACATGAATAAGTACTTAGGAATAAAGTGTAAGAGATTGAGGTTTGATGTTTGATTCCGTAGTCATCGTTTTCAGGTGAAGAAGTGCCATGGTTAGAAACAAATGCCTGCTACCTTTTTAAGTTTGCAGCTTATTTGTATCAAGTACAATATTAGAAAACATCCCTCTGAAAATAATTGTAGGAGAACAGATATTTTTCTGATCATTTAATACTGGCAGGACCTGCTTGTCTTAAGATGCCAGTAACTGCTGGGAATCAGCCTCAATTTCTATATTCCGAAGTTTGCAAGTCAGTTTTCATATGCTGTGAGTTACAATCTTCAAGATTCATTCTGATCGCATTAACAGACAATTTGTTAAAATCTCTAATATTCCACTGAGCACAGAAAAAGGGTTGAAAACAGTTTAGAGACGTCAAATTTCAAAAATTATGTAATGTTTTCTTCCAAATAATTTGTTTTATGCTGTGACTGTATAGAACTTGTTGGTGGATGGGGTGAGAAAAACCTTTCCCTTAGGGGTATTAATTGCTTTTTTAGGGCGGGGGAATAGATGTTAGCTAAGAAACTGTGGCATTATTTTAACAGCTGTAATTAGGTTCTGTTTACTTGAGGGCTAAAAAAGATGCAATAGAAAAAAACAGGGAACCCATCTTTTATCTCTAGTTCTTACCTTATGTAAGAAGGTTAATTACTAAGAAGTTACAGACAAAGCCTTGTGTTTTCAGCTATACGGAGGCTGCAAAAGTTTCATTAGTGTCAGGCTGTTTAGTATGGTGATTATATGATCAAAGGTGGAGTTGTCTTGCCAGGCTAAGCTAGACTGTTGTTCAGCAGAAAAAACATTATAACAAAGGGTAGAAACTAATGAAGAAAATGACACAAAAAGAAGGAGAAGCAGCAGGAACCTTCAGGATATGTTTAGGTATTACAGAGTATTTTGTTGAAGCCATTTTGCATGCAGTGTATTTCAGAGCTGTGGCTTTGCTGGCTGGGCCAGGTGGTTTTTGCTGATACCTTCTGGACCGGAGCTCTCTCCTGGTCTCTTCATTTTCCTGTGCACATACAAGAAATACTGTCTTGCACAAACTGAGCTTACTGTCTTGGATTGCTATGGATTGGGAGTGGATTTATGGACATAGGCTGATGCTGCATGTTTTAAGGTGCCATCCAGAAATACGAGTTTTAGAAAAACCTGGACTCTACTGTCTGTCATTAACTGAAGCAAAATAGGATTATTTGTGTAGCTCCACCTGGTGATATTAGACAGTACTGCACACAGACCTGGTCAGAAAAATAAAGGCATTTGTGTGCCAGGTTTGCTGTAAACTAGCACTGAGAAGCAACTGTCTACTAAGCTGCAAATTCATTCACCGTTAGTAAAATACAGTTTATTTAGCACAAAGAGTTTAAGAAACAAATGTATTCGAACATCAAAATTTGAGCATCAGGATTTTCTGCAGCAGCAGTATTCTCTCCCAGCATTTATGTTTTGTCAGAACAAGAAAATTTTCAATCAGTAATTTCCACCAGAACCTTTCCAAAACAATGAAATTAATTCTTATAAGCACAGGTGATCATGCATAGTATAACTCATTCCTTTAAGATAAGCTGGGGAGAGGTTATGGATTGGAAGGAAAATCCTACAGTGGAAAAACTATCAACAAATGCATGAGCTAAGCAGTTTGATAAAGACTAGTGAGACAGATATTTCTGTATCTTTCAAAGCTTGTAAAAGCAGTTGGGCAGTATCTGCTTGGTGGTCAGAAATGTTGCTAAAGCATGTGGGAACATACCTGAGCTACCTGAGATGCTGACAGCAACACAGCAGTGGAAGTGCTTGGTGACCATGTTGTGTGACTGCGGTGCTGGGTAGGCTTGAGCAGCCTCTGCTCCTGCCTCTCCGATTGAAAGTCAGCTCAGGTCAGACCTCTGTGATTTCTGTAGTCAGCCACAGGCAGTGTTGTGAGAGGTGACAGTTTTCTTGGAACAGGTAGAAGGAAAAACTAGGTGAACTCTTAAGACCCCTCAGGCAAACTTTCACAAATGCAGAAGGTTTAAGGAAGTGTGGAGGATGAAAAAGATCAGAGCAGAAAGAGGAAAAAAGCTTTTTCCTAAGAAATAAAATTGGTTATAGGTGAAGCTGTGCTGCCACAAGCTTGTGCATACCACATTAGGGCACCAGTGAACTCCTTGTTTGCTTTGTATGTCTACAAGTGTGAGTAGCTTTCTTGATCTCGAAGTCAGAAACTAGTAGGAAATGGAG